TTTCCAACCACCCGACGGTTCGTTGAAGAAAAACTTCCAGAGACTGTCTGGAAAAGCCGGTCCCCAAGTCGACTGAAGAAAACGCAGCTGATGGAGAACACTCGGCGTCAGGTCGGTCGGAGTCGGCAAGTAGACAGCGTCGTCCGAGAGGTGTTCCATCACCACATTGACGTAGTGGGCGCGATCGAGGACCGTCATGCCAAGGTTCTTATCTGCGGGCTTGATGGCAATGCTGCGGTCAGTCGCAAGGGAGCGTAGAGCCGTACGGACACCTCGCAAAAGGTTAGATCCACGTATCGGCTTCGTCGCTTTCAGCAGGAAAGAGAGGTCATCATGCGCCTCTCTGAAAACCGACTCCGGGACCTCGTCCCGATTGGGTTTCCGACTGGGATTGCGCACTGGAATGCGCGAAGATCCAGCGGGTCCCCCTTTATCCTTGAAGAAAAAATGGAGGGAGACCTGTCGATGCAGCTGATCGAGAGCTGCTTCAACAGGCGGATTCCAGGCAGGAGTAGGAACGAACTTCAAACCCAACCCGAGTGCTTTCCGCTCATCGGACGTAAGGACTTTAGCACTCAGGTTATGCACCTCGAGGTTATGAACGCGGGACAGCGCCTGTCGAACTGTCCGTACCACCTCTAGATCATGAGCCGTTACTTCTTCTTCGGTAGCCCTTTTGCGGGGCCGCCGCCGCCGTTTTTTGGAACCCAGGCTTTTTTCGAGGTCGACGTGGTAGTTTCTGGGCCCTTCCCCTTGCTGTCTTTCGGAGGGTCGGCTTGCGTTTTCTTCTTGCCGCCACGTCTCTTCGCCATCTTCTTCGATGTAGAAGGCTTAGAAGTAGAGGTAGCGGGGGTCGACGTAGCTCCCTGCGCTTCCAACACCATCGCTCGTAGCTGTGACGATACGGTAAACAAAAGCTTCGCCTTGACTTCCGCCTTGAATTCCTTGCGGAGCTCCGCCTTCGCCTTTTGAGCAGCCTTCTGAGCAATTTCGTTGAATGTCGGCCCTGGTTCCATGCCTTCCATTTCCTCAATGGCAGCAGCTTTCTTCAAATCCTTGGCTTCACGTGTTTTCTGCTTCAGCAGCTCTTGGACTTTAATGTCATCCTTAGCGGTATCGATGTCGGACCGAGCCGTCTCGATACAGTGTCCCTTGATCTTCCTGAACTTTTCTTTGGCGACGTCGGAGATCGCCAGCTCGGGGACAGAGGTAAGACTCTTGATGTGGTCCTCGATCTTCGCCGCCAGAGGTGTGAATCGGAAGCCGTAAGAATTTCTTCAACCTCCAGTTCCTTCGACTTGATGAAGTCGGCTTGAATTCGTTGCTGGTATTCGCGATGAATAGCCGCCACGGAGACTTCAGACTTCTCTCGGATCGAGGCGAATTTAGTTTGAACCTCGACAACTTTGGTGCGGATACTGTGAAGTATCACACCTTGGCTGTCAAGCGCCTTCATCTTCTTCAGCTTCGACTTCGCCTTCAGGTAGGCCCTGAAATAATTCCGAAAACCCTTGACAGCCTCCGCACTCCAACCTTTAAAAGGTTCAGGAATCGGAGTAGACTGGTCGATGGCGACTGTCGGGTTGGAGCTCGATGCTACAACAGGGGCGACGGACAGGAGATCCGTCGATGCGGCAGCCGGAGCGCCATTCGGATCACTTTCAACGTCCATGGAGGGAGGAAATTCTTCTTGCTCACCTTGCTTCGAAGTGTAGCGAGTTGGAGCAGGGTCAGCTTCCTTGAGTGGGCGAAGGCGTTTGGACTTGCGCTGGTAAACTCTTTCGGGGCTGTCTGTCTCGCGCAAAACGATTGCGAGTTTTCCGTCTGCTGCGCTGGCATCTTCTGGAGTAAGCGTAAGTGTAAGCAAATCCTTGGATATCTTCCTGTGTGCGCGACGTCAGGAGACGGGTTAGCAAGTAGGAAAAACAGTTGAAAACGATGCTTATGTAAACGCGAGTTTGGAGTAGTCAGAGCTCTTCCCTTAACAACCAATTAAACAGGTGACAAACATGTTTCGGCCGCAGGGCATACCCTAGCGAGCCTTCATCCGTGCCAATGAGAAAGTATGAGCAAAGCAAAGCTTCTAAGTAGAAACTAAGCATCCAACCGAACCAAACTCAATGTAATCTTCACGCGGGTCACCCAAGATATCGAAGACCAATCGAAGCCAACCTGGTAAAAACCAAGGGGCCACGTCTTCAAATCTTGAGGGTGTCTTGAGAATGAGTTGAATTCGAATTCTCGCCAGTAGGCAGCCTCGGAAGCCGCGCGCGCACCAAACGCTTCGATAAGCTACACCCAATCTTCCAAGCAACAAAAAACCTCTCTATGAATAAACCATGCGTGAGGAGTCTATTTTTGAGGCGCCTCAAAAATAGTATCGCGGTGCGCTGTTTCTCTCCTTTTCCCATCCGTGCAATGCCCCTCCAGCCCCACTTTGCGCTTCTTCCTCTCACCCCCTCCCCGCGTTGCATCTCCCTTCCCTTCCTCTCTGTCTGCTCACCAGACTCTCAGGACCACATGCGGCATGCGGGCGACGTGTGCTTTACGCAGGTCTTCAAGGAGAACAACCGTAGGTGGGGATGGTGGAGGGATGTGATAGGTGTGGCATGGACGCATGGCATGGCACGGTGTGGCGTGGCATGGCGTGGCGTGACGTGGCATGGTGTTTCATGGCGTGGCGTGGCGTGGCGTGGCGTGGCATGGCGTGGTGTGGCGTGGCGTGGCGTGGCATGGCGTGGCATGGCGTGGACAAATAGCGTGCACGCATATGGTGTTAGGCGTGCTGGCGACGTGCGCTTCGCGCAGGTCTTCAGGGGAGCAACGGCAGGTGGGTGGGTGAGAATCCTAAGAAACGCCCTGCAGGATCGCGGTAAGCATGCTGGCGACGTGTGTTTGGCGCCGCTCTTCAAGGAGAGCAACGGCAGGTGGGTGGATCGTGGAAGAGACGGTGCGTTTCTGTTGCATCACAGCCATGTTCGTAGGTGGTGGTAGGGGGTGGTAGGTGCTGGTAGGTGCTGGTAGGTGCTGGTAGGTGGTGGTAGGTGCGTACGTGGATGCTTGAGGCCCGTAATATGGCATGCACGCATGGCGTGGCATGGGCACATGAGGTGGCATGGACACATGAGGTGGCATGGACGCATGAGGTGGCATGGACGCATGAGATGGCGTGGACGCATAACGTGGCATGGACGCATGAGGTGGCATGGACGCATGAGGTGGCATGGACGCATGAGGTGGCATGGACGCATGAGGTGGCATGGACGCATGAGGTGGCATGGAAGCATGAGGTGGCATGGACGCATGAGGTGGCATGGACGCATGAGGTGGCATGGACGCATGAGGTGGCATGGGCACATGAGGTGGCATGGACGCATGAGGTGGCATGGACGCATGAGGTGGCATGGACGCTTGAGGGGGCATGGACACATGAGGGGGCATGGACACATGAGGGGGCATGCTGCTAACTTGCCCCGCATCCAGGGGCCCCCTCCCCGTCTATCAAGCATGACGGGATTCGTGGACTGCAGCAACGGGGAGGACACAAGGCATGCTGATTCCGCGTTGCCCTCATCGCCCATCCTCTTCTTGCCCCTCGTTCCTCCCCTCCCCATCCCCTCCCCTCCTCTCTCTGCTACCAGACATGATGGGACTCGTGGACTGCAGCAACCAGGACGACATGAAGCATGCTGCTTTTGCCTCACTCGCATTCTGCCATTTCCTTGCCCTGCATCCCACTCTTCCCCCTCCCTCCAGGCATGATGGGAATCGTGGACCACAGCAAGGAGGAGGACACGAAGTAGGCTGCTTGTTCTGTCTCACTTCACTGTTTGTCCTCACCCCTCCCCTTACCCCTCTCTCACCCCTCCCTCCAGGCATGATGTACAGCAACGAGGAGGACATGAAGTGTGCGGTGAGTCATGGGGTGAGCAGCAGGGGTGAGAAGCAGGGTTTATGAGTGAGTAAGGACAATTCTCTGCTCGCGTTTGTCTTGATCCTCGCTGTATCTCCGCCCCCCTTCAATGCGCCCATGCTTCTCCCTCTCTACCCTTCTCCTATCCCCTCCCTTTCATCCCCTCCCACCCATCCCCTCCCACGCATCTCTTTCTCCCTCCCCGCCACCCCCCCTTTTTTCTCCCATCAGGTCCGCAAGCTAGACGATTCGGAGTTCAAAAACCCTTTTTCATGTGGTTGCTACATTCGAGTAAGTCCCGGACCTCCATCCATTCCCGAACATCCATCCAATTCCGAACCTCTGTCCCGTCGCAAACCTCCTGTGCCCAACCTCCGCCCATTTCGGCCTTCGCGCATCCTCTTTCTTTTACCCCTGCATCTGCCCTTTCGTTGGCCCCTTTCCTGCCGTTGTTTCCTCCCATTGTTTCTCCCATTGTTTCCTGCCCCTTTCCTGCCCCCTCTCCTGCCTCCTCTCCTGCCCCACCTTCTCCTGCCATGTGGACTCGCCTGTGGTATGAGGAGAGGACGCCGGTCGTGATTGCAGCAGCTCACCTCATCCTCTCTTTCACGAGATTGCTTTCTTATCCCCTCTGCCTCTGTTTCTCCTGCCCCCTCCCCTCCCCCCTCTCTTGCCTCTTGGCCTCCCCTGTCCATCCCTTCAGGTGTGTGAGATGAGCAAGGCTGGCCGCGATCGCAGCTGGTAACCGCGTCGGCCTCCTCCCTTGCTCCTCTTTCTTCCCAGGCCTGCTCTAATGCTGCCGCTCTCCCTTCTCCCCATGCTCTCTGTCCCTTCAGGTGTGTGAGTAGAGCAAGACTGGTGGCAATCGCAGCAGGTCACTGCGTCCACTTTCCTTGAAAGATTTGCTTCCAGTCCAACCATTCTCCGCCTCTTTGCTCCTGCCCCTGCCTCTGCGCATGACCTCATTCCTTGCCTCGTCAGGTGCGTGAGGAGAGCAAGACCGGTCGCGATCACAGCATGTCACCGCATCGCCGCGAGCGGTCCCGTTCACGGTCTCGCTTCCGCTCGCTCTCCGCCTCTGGTTCGCGCTCCCGATCCCGCTCCAAGTCCAAGTCTCGCTCGCGCTCTCGATCGGTACGTGGTTTGCCACTCAAAGTGTATAATGTCCCACTCTAGCTCCCGCTCTCTCTTGCGCGTGCTCTGCTTCCAGTCCACGCTCTTGCTCTCCCTCCAAGACCAAGTCTCGCTCCCACATTAACACCAGAATTCTGTTCCCTGTTCCCCTCCTCTCACCACCCCTCCTCTCACTACCCCTCCTCCCACTACCATTCCTCTCACCGACCCCCCCTTGCAGCCCAAGAAGAGCGGATCTAAGTCCCCCTTTTGCTCCCGCTCTCCTGCCAAGTCTCCTGAGCATGCTCGCTCTACTGTTCGCTCCCCTCACCGCTCGTCTCCCGCCTTTTCCCCCTCCCCTTTCTCCTTCCCTCCCCCTTTCCCCCTTCCCTTTCCCCTTCCCCCTCCCCTTCCCCCTTCTCGCGCTCTCCTGCTCTTTCCCTCCCCCTTCACCACCCACTCCCTCTTGTTCCCGCTCTCAATCCAAGGCTCCTGCTGAGTCTCCCGAGCGTGCTCACACTCCTGTAGTTACTATCCTCCCTCCCTGTCTTGCTCTTTTTGCTCTCCCTCACCCCTCCAGCCTCGCTCCCGCTTTCGATCCAAGTCTCCTCCCGAGTTCCTTCCGTGCTCGCTTGTAAACAATCCTCTCCTCATCTCTCCCCCTCTCCCCCAACCCCTTTCCCTCCCCCCCCAAGCTTCCCCCCTTCCTTTTTTCCACCCCCTTGCTCTCCCCTCGCTCTCCCACTCTCTCCCCCTGCCCACTCCCTCTCGCCTCCAATCTCGATCAAAGTTTCCTGCCAAGTCCTCTCTGAACCCCCCCCCCCCCCCCTCCCCCCACCCCAACTCAATGCGTGCTGCATTCCCTTACCGCTGATCCATCCCTCACGTATGGGTTTCTTGCTTTCAGGCTGGCAGTGATGGGAAAGCGGCCTCTGGTTGATTATATCATTGCTCGCTGGACCTCATTAGCTACGTGCAGTTCACTTGTGTGCGCAGTGACCAAATGGGAGCTTCGCGCTGGTTGCTTGTTAGAATTTTAATGGTGAGCAGTGGATATGATATGTTTGTGTATTTTCGAAAATGGCTCTCACCCCTCCCCTTACCCCTCTCTTACCCCTCCCCTTCACCCCTCCCCTTCACCCCTCCCCTTACCCCTCTCTTACCCCTCCCCTCCCCTCCCACCCATCCCCTCCCATACATCCCCTCCCACTCATCCCCTCCCACTCATCCCCTCCCACTCATCCCCTCCCACCCATCCCCTCCCAACCATCCCCTCCCACTCATCCCCTCCCACCCATCCCCTCCCACTCATCCCCTCCCACCCATCCCCTCCCACCCATCCCCTCCCACTCATCCCCTCCCACCCATCCCCTCCCACCCATCCCTCCCACCCATCCCTCCCACCCATCCCCTCCCACTCATCCCCTCCCACTCATCCCCTCCCACTCATCCCCTCCCACCCATCCCCTCCCACTCATCCCCTCCCACTCATCCCCTCCCAATCATGCCCTCCCTCTCATCCCCTCCCACCCATCCCCTCCCTCTCATCCCCTCCCACTCATCCCCTCCCACTCATCCCCTCCCACTCATCCCCTCCCACTCATCCCCTCCCACCCATCCCCTGCCACTCATCCCCTCCCACTCATCCCCTCCCACTCATCCCCTCCCACCCATCCCCTCCCTCTCATCCCCTCCAACTCATCCCCTCCCACTCATCCCCTCCCACCCATCCCCTCCCTCTCATCCCCTCCCACTCATCCCCTCCCTCTCATCCCCTCCCACTCATCCCCTCCCACTCATCCCCTCCCACTCATCCCCTCCCTCCCATCCCCTCCCTCTCATCCCCTCCCACTCATCCCCTCCCACTCATCCCTCCCACTCATCCTCTCCCACTCATCCCCTCCCACCCATCCCCTCCCACCCATCCCCTCCCACTCATCCCCTCCCACTCATCATCTCCCACCCATCCCGTCCCACCCATCCCCTCCCAACCATCCCCTCCCACCCATCCCCTCCCACTCATCCCCTCCCACTCATCCCCTCCCACTCATCCCCTCCCACTCATCCCCTCCCACTCATCCCCTCCCACTCATCCCCTCCCACTCATCCCCTTCCACCCATCCCCTTCCACTCATCCCCTCCCACCCATCCCGTCCCACCCATCCCCTTCCACCCATCCCCTCCCACCCATCCCCTCCCATCCCCTCCCACTCATCCCCTCCCACTCATCCCCTCCCACGCATCCCCTCCCACTCATCCCCTCCCACTCATCCCCTCCCACTCATCCCCTCCCACTCATCCCCTCCCACTCATCCCCTCCCACTCATCCCCTCCCACGCATCTCTTTCTCCCCCCCCACCACCCCCCTGTTTTCTCCCATCAGGTCCGCAAGCTGGACAATTCGGAGTTCAAAAACCCCTTTTCCCGTGGCTGCTACATTCGAGTAAGTCCCGGACCTCCATCCATTCCCGAATGTCCATCCAGACCCGAACCTCCATCCAGTTCCGAACCTCCATCCTTCCATCCTGCTCCAAGCCTCCATCCAATTCCGAACCTCTGTCTTGTTGTGAACCTCCTGTGCCCAACCTTCGCCCATTTCGGCCTTCGCGAATCCTCTTTCTTTTACCCCTGCATCTGCCCTTTCATCAGCCCCTTTTTGCCCCTTTGACTGCCCGTTTTCCTGCCCCTTTCCTGCCCCCTCTCCTGCCTTCTCTCCTGCCCCACCTTCCCCTTCCCCTGCCATGTGGACTCTCCTGTGGTATGAGGAGTGGATGCCAGTTGTGATTGCAGCAGCTCACCTCATCCTCTCTCTTTCACGAGATTGCTTTCTTATCCCCTCTGCCTCTGTTTCTCCTGCCCCCTCCCCTCCCCCCTCTCTTGCCTCTTGGCCTCCCCTGTCCATCCCTTCAGGTGTGTGAGAAGAGCAAGGCTGGCCACGATCGCAGCTGGTCACCGCGTCGGCCTCCTCCCTTGCTCCTCTTTCCTTCCAGGCCTGCTCTAATGCTGCCGCTCTCCCTTCTTCTCATGCTCTCTGTCCCTTCAGATGCGTGAGGAGAGCACGACCAGCCGCAATCACAGCAGGACACCCCGTCCACTTTCCTTCACGAGAGTTGCTTCCGATCCAACCATTCTCCCCCTCTTTGCTCCTGCCTCTTGCCCATGACCTCATTCCTTGTCCCTTCAGGTGCGTGAGGAGAGCAAGACCGGTCGCGATCGCAGCAGGTCCCCGCATCGCCGCGAGCGGTCCCGTTCACGGTCTCGCTCCCGCTCTCGCTCCGCTTCGGGTTCGCGCTCCCGATCCCGCTCCAAGTCCAAGTCTCGCTCGCGCTCTCGATCGGTACGTGGTTTGCCACTCAAGGTACCTTCGAGAGGTGGAAGCCGGTTTAGTCTGATGTAGTCAGAGACGACCGGCGTTCAGTGTGGTGAGTGCAAGCAGGTGCTGTTTGAACTCGAAGGCCCGCTCTCAGAAAACTTGCGGGAAGTCCGCTTGACAGAACGAAGAGTAATGAGCATTTCCCGTCGCCCTGCCCCAGGACAAACCTGGCAAGTTGACGGCAAGAAATTGTTTTGCTGGCCTTGTCCACAGATTTGTTGAGCATTCACCCAGACCTTTCTTTCCTACCTGCCCAGGTCAACTGATACAACGGAAAGACACGCTCTGTCCCTCAGACAGTCTCTCCACGCCACCACTTCAGCATGCAAGGAATTCGAATGTGGTGATTCAATAATTGTCAGCTTCCAATAATCATTGGCGATGGCGATGCGGTTGCCGACTTGCAAGAAGTCCATACACCACGGCGGTTCGGATTTGCTACTTGGTGAGGTGCTCCTCCCGTTAGGCTAGAGGAGTATTTAATCTACTGCTCCTTCAACTTTCTTCACACCACCATTTCACAGTCCACCGGCTTCCGTCCTCCGATTCCAGCCGTCTATTCCGATTGTCAAGCGTGCAATATCGAGTTTCAGCCCTCCGTTATCCTCAGCAGGATCCAGTGTTTCCTGTTTCAGCCATGGCCCCCATTCCCCCCAGCAGCTTGGCTTGCCTTGGCTTCCTCGTCGTCCTAGCTTCCACCCTCCTCCCTTCCGCAAACGCCGTCTACGCCACTTTCAGCGAAGGCATCAACTCCGGCGGCGGCGCGTGCAACTACGAGGGTAACCTCCGCGATGATCCGCTTTTCAACAACGGAATGACCGCCATGATCCCTCATAGCAGGTACGAGAACGGCAAGGGCTGCGGCACGTGCTACGAAGTCGAGTGCCTCAACCACGCGAGCTGCCGCAGCAGCGTCGTCACGGTCCGAGCGGTGGGACTTCAAGGCGAGGACTTCCTGCTCTCCGACACCGCGTGGGACGAGATCTCCAACGACCGGTCCGCGGGCCGCGTGGAGATTAGATACCGCGGCGTGGACTGCCCTAACAACGGCGGGATCGCGGTTAAGATCATGCCCGGGAGCAACCCGTACTGGTTCGCGATCCAGGTCTTCGGAGCGGCCGGCGCGGGCGGCGTGGATCTGCTGGAATTATCGACGGACGGCGAGAATTGGACGAGCATGAGCCAGCTGGGGAATAGCGCCACGTGGACCCTGAATCCCGCGAAGGATGTCGTCGACGTGGGCGTGGCGGTGAATCTGCGCGTGACGCTGGTGGGAGGCGCGCAGCAGCCGCTGGTGTGGACCGATGCGATTCCCGTCGGGTGGAGCGCGGGAACGACCTACCATGCGGACGGCAACTTCTAGACGTCTCGTCAGCAAGGTCCAACGAGGCGTGCTCATTGGTAGTCATGGCTCTCCCGTGCACCGCAGATGCGGATTCAGCATTGCGGCGGCGACGGGTATCAGACTCCGAAATAAATGCGATGATGGTGCGGAATAGTCGAATAAAAAGTGTCCGCGTTGTGGTTGAGTGCCTGATCGGCACCTCGCCAAACTAGTCTAGTTTCTGTTGCGCTCATTGCCCTCGCATGTCTTCGAAATGTTCGATTCCTATCTTCAATAAACGTGATCCTAGTGATAAAAGAAGCCTGAATAGTGTACGGCCACAACCACAGAGGAGCCCTTAACCCTGGACTGTTGCGAACATACGGTGCTCAGGGAAATAGCGAGGAGATGTGAAAAACCTGTGCTGTTGCGAGCATACGGTGCTGAGGGAAAGAGCGAGGAGATTGGGAAAACCTGTGATTGAGGAGAAGGACACGAGTAGAGGAAGGGGAGGGGATGGCTGTTGAGTTGGGTAGAAATGAGCCACCACCAGATACTCCTCGTCACTGGAGATGCTCATCACCCGAGGAGAGAGGGCTGGCGCATTGCTAGCAGACGGGGGAGAAGATAAAGATTCCCTGTCAAGGCGTGTCCTTAAACGACAAAATGTGACGCTTCTTCGTGTCAAATCTGTTGCGGATAGCAAACTTGACAGGCAAAATCCTGAATGACACGAAGGAGCCTGACAGGGAGTGGGCGCGAAGGGAGAGCGGAGGGAAAGCGAACGGGGACGTGTGTGAGGGGATGGCAAATAAAGTTGGGGCCAGGCGTTGCACAAAACGAATGGCTGGTCAACCTCACAGACCAACCACGCGGTAAAACCTCTCAACCCAACCCAACCACGAAGCGTAACCTTTCCACCAAGAACAGCCAAACAGGTAAGCCTTTGCACCCAATCCAGCCACTCAGATTGACCTCTTCACCCAAACCAACCGCGCAGCCAATCTTTCCGCCCAAACCAGACACACACCCCCCCCAACTTCACACGAATTTCGCACTTGATCTGACAATTTCGAGGCGCCTAACTAAAGGCGCCTTTCGCTAGGCGCCATTCGAATGGCGCCTTTCGATAGGCGACTTCCGCCAGGCGCGTTTCGTTTGGCGTTTTTTATCGGCGCCTTTCGTTAGGCGCCTTTCGTTAGGCGCCTTTCGTTAGGCGCCTTTCGTTAGGCGCCTTTCTAAAGGCGCTTTTCGTTAGGCGCCATTCGATCGGCGCCTTTCGTTAGGCGCCATTCGATCGGCGCCTTTCGGTAGACGCCATTCGTTTGGCTGCTTCAGGTCACCGCATCCCCTTGTCCTTCATAGGACTCCCTCCGCATCCCTTCGCATCCCTTTGCTCCTGCGCGGGGGTCACGACCACAGCTGGTCACCCAGCAGCATCCCTTTGCACCGCATCCAACCAAATTCCGCCCCTCGTTGCTCTCCTGCCTCTGTCTCCGTCTTCCCTCTCGTGCCTTCAGGTGCGCAAGGAGAGCAAGGGGGATCACGGCTGCCCTCCCTCTTCTGAGCAATGCAGTCTTTCCCGTTTCTTCCACATCCTGCAGCATCCCTTCACACCCAGCACCATCCCTTGATAAGACCCCATTGCCTCTGTCCCTGTTCCCGTCCGCCCCTTCAGGTATGTGAGGAGAGCAAGGCCAGCCGCGATCGTAGCAGGGCCTCCTCTCTGTTGGAGTGGTTCCGCCACCCACAACGGACTACTCGTGACTTGGGGTGACGAGGAGAGAAATGCGGACTTGGGACGAGAAGGTACTAGGAAGCGGGTATTGCGTGAGCGTGAGGTGTACGGAAAGGGGAGAAGAAAGAGAGAAGATTAGTGGAAGAAAGGAATGGAAGTGGCGAGAAACAGATTGACGTGGGGCAAAAGTTGGTGTTCGGACGGGGCGTGTTCAACAAGCATTCGGACTTCGGACCGACGGCGTGTTCAGCAAGAAAGTCGCGATTGCGTGTGCGACTCGGCATGACACGAAGCGCGCAAGTTACTCGCAGCGCACACGGCAGTTACGAAGCGCGAAATTGCTTGTACTTCCACTATAAATCTGTTTGAACATTTGTTCTTTGTATCTCATTGGAACTAGTGGAATGCTTGTGTGTATTGACAACTTGCAACCACTTTGAGATCAGATTATGAGGCAAGGCCCTTGAGGCTATTTGCACAAGTATTTCTAAATACTTTTCGCTGCGCCGGAGGCGATAGTCGCCTAGAACTGGTATCAGAGCTAGCGTTGAATTGCTGGCGAATTTTTTTCTGCGTGGAGTCTACTTAGTGCGCTAAGTAGAGCAGAGGAGTTAAAGGAGAGTAGCCTAAGCCTACGTCATGGCGGGTGACGAGGTTAGTTCGGGATCCAGTGTGAGCATTGGAGACCCGCAGATGAGAGCTCTCCTGGAGGCCCTGTCGAGGGGGTAATTTGTGGTGAAACCGACGATTGGGCTCAGCGAGGCCCAACGTTTCAATGGAAGCAGCTACAGTACGTGGCGCTTGAAGTTCAGTCGAAGGGCGGAGGAGGTGGACCTTTGGCCCTACTACTCGCCGGACAAGGAGACAGGGGAGGGAGTACCTCCTACTGAGACGGAGCCGGCGGAGAAAATTGCAGAATTCAGAAGGAAGAGTAAGCAAGCGTTTTTTCAGTTGTGTCACTCAGTTTCTGACGGTATTGCCGTCAATTTGGACCCGTTTAAGCGTGAGGTGAATTCTGCGGAGAAGGCCTGGGCATGTTTGGAGAGCATGTATCTTAGGCCAAGCAACGCTAACAAGTCTGCTGTACGTAAGAAGTTGTTGTTGCTCAGCATGCGAGAGGATGAGAAGATCATCGACTACGTTAACAGAGCACGCAGCCTCAACGATGAGCTAGCGGCGATGGGAGATGCTGAGAACGAGGAGCAGATGATCGAGCACATAGCGAGTGGACTACCCGAGACGTGGGCAGCAGAGAAGAGCGGCCTTGTTCTTCACCCTCCAGAGAGCATGACGCAGTTAGTGGACAAGCTGCAGTCGATTGAGGCGATGAAGATAGCGAGCAAGGGGAAGACGGAAGCTGCATATGGTGGGCAGGAGAAGCCGGGGATGGTGAATGCAGCAGCGGCTTGGAGGATTAGTGGTGCTTGTTACCACTGCGGTAAGAAAGGGCACAAGGCGATAGATTGCTACGACAATCCCAAGAGCAGGAACTATAAGGGGAAGGAAGCTGCAAGCGACGGAGAAGGTTGGCAGCAGCGGAAGGGGTTTGGAGGCACCTGCGATTTTTGTGGGAGGTACGGACATAGGGCAGCAGATTGCTATTCCAATCCAAACAGCAAGAGTTACAGGGGTCCAGCACATCAGCAGCGGAATGCACCGAAGGCGAACGTGATGGAAGCAGAGAAGGAGGAGAAAGAGGATATTATCCTTGGGGGCGCACATCGGGCGAACATTGCACGTGCGTCAAACCTGCAAGCTGACGGTTTCAAGCTCCATGGCTGGTACCTGGACAGTGGCTGCACACAGCACATGACGAACATGTCAGACTGGTTGAAGAATGTGAGGGAGTCGAATGAGAAGTTCATACTGCTGGGAGATAGCACAAAGTTACCCGTCACTGGAGAAGGTGACGTCCTACTGCGTAGCAGGTTCGGGGAACTGAAGCTGAAAGGAGTACTGCTGGTGAAGGACCTATCCATGAATCTGATTAGTCAGTCACAGATGGATGCATTGGGATGTAAGGTGCTCAACGACCAGGGCAAGGTTACAGTATTTGGTCCAACGTGGGAAGTAGTTGCAGACGGGAAGCTGAAGCGGGGTTTCTACGAGATGGATTTTATGCCGAAGCTGTTAGTAACGGATGGGTATGAGGAGGACAACATAAGCAACGAAGCTGTGGTTGTACGGGAGGAGACAGGCGCTGAGGCAGCTAAGAAGCAGGATGCTGAAGATCTCGCAACAAGCACGATGATGGCCAACAGAGTGGAGGCAAAGGTTGGAGAAACAGGATGGGAGGAGAAACAGAAGCAGGCAGCAGCAGAGACAAGGAAAGAGGAGATAGAGCAGTCTGAGGAACCCGAGGGAAAGAAGCAGACAGTAACGACTATCAAATGGTTTGGTAAGATTTTGGAGGTCAGTAAGGAAGGATGGATAGTACGGGCTAGCGACGAGTTGTTCAGTGATTGTGAGGGTATCCTAGAATGGGCAAGAGAGATTGGGGACTCTACTGAGGGCGAGGAGTACAGTAAGGAGAAGAAGCAGACCAATCCTCATCTGAGGGTTCAGAGTTATCCATTCAAGCCTGGTAAGCAGAAGCAGAAAGCCAAGCAGTTGCAGGGGAGTATGGAGCTGACTTAGAGTGCGAGGATGGAGAATGCAGGGGAGCACTAGAAGAGACAATCACATGGAAGGTGCGTGGTTGGCAGAACCACAGGGGAGGTTGTTGGAGTGGTTCCGCCACCCACAACGGACTACTCGTGACTTGGGGTGACGAGGAGAGAAATGCGGACTTGGGACGAGAAGGTACTAGGAAGCGGGTATTGCGTGAGCGTGAGGTGTACGGAAAGGGGAGAAGAAAGAGAGAAGATTAGTGGAAGAAAGGAATGGAAGTGGCGAGAAACAGATTGACGTGGGGCAAAAGTTGGTTTTCGGACGGGGCGTGTTCAACAAGCATTCGGACTTCGGACCGACGGCGTGTTCAGCAAGAAAGTCGCGATTGCGTGTGCGACTCGGCATGACATGAAGCGCGCAAGTTACTCGCAGCGCACACGGCAGTTACGAAGCGCGAAATTGCTTGTACTTCCACTATAAATCTGTTTGAACATTTGTTCTTTGTATCTCATTGGAACTAGTGGAATGCTTGTGTGTATTGACAACTTGCAACCACTTTGAGATCAGATTATGAGGCAAGGCCCTTGAGGCTATTTGCACAAGTATTTCTAAATACTTTTCGCTGCGCCGGAGGCGATAGTCGCCTAGACTCTCCTGCCTTTTGGCCTGCCGCAACCGTCCCGTAAGGTGCGTGAGGAGAGCAAGACCGGTCGCGATCGCAGCAAGTCACCGCGTCCATTTTCCGATGCAACCATTCTCCCCCTATTTGCTCCTGCCTCTGTCCCTGTCTTCATTTGTTCCCGGCCTCCTGTTCCTCTATTTCCGCAGTACAGCAAGATTCTCGACATCGAGCTCACGCTTCCGCCTCGCCCCCCTGGCTTCGCGTTCGTGGAGGTGAGCTTGGGAGCGTGGGAGCGTGAGAGCGCGTTAGAGTGGGAGCGTGTTGCAGAGGATGGAGTGTGCTATCCCCCCTGCTATCCCCCCTGCTATCCCCCTGCTATCCCCCCTGCTATCCGCCCTGCTATCCCCCTGCTACCCCCCCTGCTATCCCCCCTGCTATCCCCCCTGCTATCCCCCCTGCTATCCCCCCTGCTATCCCCCCTGCTATCCCCCCTGCTATCCCCCTGCTACCCCCTGCTATCCCCCTGCTATCCCCCCTGCTATCCCCCCTGCTATCCCCCCTGCTATCCCCCCTGCTATCCCCCCTGCAATCCCCCCTGCTATCCCCCCTGCTACCCCCCCTGCAATCCCCCCTGCCATCCCCCTGCTATCCCCTGCTGTCTGTTCCCCCCTCCCCTTCTCCTGCTGTCTTCTGGTTTTCCCCTCCCCTTCTCCTGATGTCTTCTGGTTTTCCCCTCCCCTTCTCCTGCTGTCGTCTGTTCCCCCCCTCCCTGTTCTCCTCTGTCAGTCCGCGGACCCCAGAGACGCCGAAGATGCGATTTGAGGCAGGGACGGCTACGACTTGGATGGCCACAGGCTGCGCGTGGAGCTGGCGCATGGCGGGCATGGCTCTCATCCCCTGCCCCCCCCCCTGCAATCTTCTGTCCGCCCGCTTGCCAGTTGGCGGACCCCAGGGATGCGGAGGACGCTATAAGAGAGCTGGCCATGACTTGGACGGCCACAGGCTGCTAGTGGAGCTGGCGCATGGGGGCTGCGGGGGTGGCAGCTTCGGGGATCGCCGGGGGGACTTCCAGCTGAGCGGGGGCGGGACGTCTTGCAGGACTGAGTACGGCGGTGCGTTGGTTGGAGGCATGTCGGTTGGTGCATGGGATGGTGATGAGACAGCTTCGGTGGTGGCTGGTGGGATTCCCAGCCGCGAGGGGCGGGCCGTCTTGCAGGACTGAGTACCGCGGTGCGCTGTTTCTCTCCTTTTCCCATCTGTGCAATTCCTTGGACATCTTCCAGTGAGCGCGGCGTCAGGAGACGGGTTAGCAAGTAGGAAAAAACAGTTGAAAACGATGCTTATGTAAACGCGAGTTTGGAGTAGTCGGAGCTCTTCCCTTAACAACCAATTAAACAGGTGACAAACATGTTTCGGCCGCAGGGCATACCCTAGCGAGCCTTCTTCAGTGCCAATGAGAAAGTATGAGCAAAGCAAAGCTTCTAGGTAGAAACTAAGCATCCAACCGAACCAAACTCAATGTAATCTTCACCCGGGTCACCCAAAATATCGAGGACCAATCGAAGCCAACCTGGTAAAAACCAAGGGGCCACGTCTTCAAATCTCGAGGGTGTCTTGAGAATGAGTTGAATTCGAATTCTCGCCAGTAGGCAGCCTCGGAAGCCACGCGCGCACCAAACGCTTCGATAAGCTATTGTCAAACATGTGTATTTGTCATGTTTGTATAGACTGTATAGGGTCGCCTCTTAGAGAGTACAACACTTAGGTATATCTGTGTGTACTCTCACTCTATCAAATCACTTGTTCAATTTTTGATATGGTATCACGCGTAGGTAGGATCCCCCCCCACCTACCGCTTCCGCTCGCCCCCCTCTAGCCCCGTTACGTCCTGCCACCTGAAGGGCGCCCCAGCCGGGGGGTCACAATGTCCAAGGTGAACAGGCTGGACACCGGGTCCATGGGGAACGTGGACAGGGGGGCACCAGTGGCGGCCCTGGTACAGACAGCATACCGCTCGTGACCAGGGAACGTAGTGGTGACACCAAGGTCCTGGAGGCAGCCGATCCCAACTAGGTTCCTGGAGAAAGAGGGGATATACAGACCTGTGAGAGAGCCCGAAGGAACCGCCGGACACGGAAGGGTGGTGGAACTGCGAGCGACTACGGGACCGGCGGAGAGGTCAGCAAGTGAAACAGCAGTAGGAACAGGAAGCGGCGTCAGCGTAGTAGAGTCACGGAAGAAACACCGGGAAGCGCCAGAATCCAAGGTGAAGGAAAGCTAAGCAGTGGCGTCTGGCGACGGGGCGACGGCGGAAGCACCAAGGCTAAACAAGGCAGAAGCTCCTACGCCTGACGCAGCAGGGGAGGCTAAGCTAGGCACAACTACACTAGGCGATAAGGAGTAATACGAGGGGAGCACACTAGAGTCATCGGCATACAACAAATGCAGGGCAGAAACAATGGCATCCATGTCCATGTAAAAAATCTGAACTCTACGACTAAGCAAACTGTGCCAGTCCGGGAGGTCGGGCGATGGGCCGAAACGCTGACGAAACAAGTCGTCCAGGCGACGAGAACAGCGGGCAGTGGTGTGACCGATCTTACCGCAAACGAAGCCGCGGCGAGGACCGGTCTGGATCTGGTACTGACAGCGCTTGCCAGTTGGCGGACCCCAGGGATGCGGAGGACGCTATAAGAGAGCTGGCCATGACTTGGACGGCCACAGGCTGCTAGTGGAGCTGGCGCATGGGGGCTGCGGGGGTGGCAGCTTTGGGGATCGCCGGGGGGACTTCCAGCTGAGCGGGGGCGGGACGTCTTGTAGGACTGAGTACGGCGGTGCGTTGGTTGGAGGCATAGCGGTTGGTGCATGGGATGGTGATGAGACAGCTTCGGTGGTGGCTGGTGGGATTCCCAGCCGCGAGGGGGCGGGCCGTCTTGCAGGACTGAGTACCGCGGTGCGCTGTTTCTCTCCTTTTCCCATCTGTGCAATTCCTTGGACATCTTCCAGTGAGCGCGGCGTCAGGAGACGGGTTAGCAAGTAGGAAAAAACAGTTGAAAACGATGCTTATGTAAATGCGAGTTTGGAGTAGTCGGAGCTCTTCCCTTAACAACCAATTAAACAGGTGACAAACATGTTTCGGCCGCAGGGCATACCCTAGCGAGCCTTCTTCAGTGCCAATGAGAAAGTATGAGCAAAGCAAAGCTTCTAGGTAGAAACTAAGCATCCAACCAAACCAAACTCAATGTAATCTTCACCCAGGTCACCCAAAATATCGAGGACCAATCGAAGCCAACCTGGTAAAAACCAAGGGGCCACGTCTTCAAATCTCGAGGGTGTCTTGAGAATGAGTTGAATTCGAATTCTCGCCAGCAGGCAGCCTCGGAAGCCACGCGCGCACCAAACGCTTCGATAAGCTACTGTCAAACATGTGTATTTGTCATGTTTGTATAGACTGTATAGGGTCGCCTCTTAGAGAGTACAACACATGTTTGTATAGACTGTATAGGGTCGCCTCTTAGAGAGTACTCTCACTCTATCAAATCACTTGTTAAATTTTTGATATGGTCTCACGCGTAGGTAGGATCCCCCCCCACCTACCGCTTCCGCTCGCCCCCCTCTAGCCCCGTTACGTCCTGCCACCTGAAGGGGCGCCCCTGCCGGGGGGGTCACAATGTCCAAGGTGAACAGGCTGGACACCGGGTCCATGGGGAACGTGGACAGGGGGGCACCAGTGGCGGCCCTGGTACAGACAGCATACCGCTCGTGACCAGGGAACGTAGTGGTGACACCAAGGTCCTGGAGGCAGCCGATCCCAACTAGGTTCCTGGAGAAAGAGGGGATATGCAGACCTGTGAGAGAGCCCGAAGGAACCGCCGGACAGGGAAGGGTGGTGGAACTACGAGCGACTATGGGACCGGCGGAGAGGTCAGCAAGTGAAACTGCAGTAGGAACAGGAAGCGGCGTCAGCGTAGTAGAGTCACGGAAGAAACACCGGGAAGCGCCAGAATCCAAGGTGAAGGAAAGCTAAGCAGTGGCGTCTGGCGACGGGGCGACGGCGGAAGCACCAAGGCTAAACAAGGCAGAAGCTCCTACGCCTGACGCAGCAGGGGAGGCTAAGCTAGGCACAACTGCACTAGGCGATAAGGAGTAATAAGAGGGGAGCACACTAGAGTCATCGGCATACAACAAATGCAGGGCACAAACAATGGCATCCATGTCCATGTAAAAAATCTGAACTCTACGACTAAGCAAACTGTGCCAGTCCGGGAGGTCGGGCGATGGGCCGAAACGCTGACGAAACAAGTCGTCCAGGCGACGAGAACAGCGGGCAGTGGTGTGACCGATCTTACCGCAAACGAAGCCGCGGCGAGGACCGGTCTGGATCTGGTACTGACAGCGCACGCCTCCTGAACCGCCACCCTGCACACCACCACGCACACGACCACCACCAGCGCCAGGCCACCCGGGCAGGAGGGCACTCGCCTGCCTCGTCTGCGGCGGCTGCTGCGGCTGCTGCGGCTGCTGCAACTGTTGCGGCTGCTTGGGCGGCTGCTCAGCTGGACCTGGCAGGGTGTCGTCCACTCCACCTCCAGACGACCCGACTCCACCCCCACCTCCACTGGCACCCCCACCACCTCCGCCGCGCCCAGCCTTGGGGCGGCGGCCCTTCCCCGGACAGAACTGCGCTGCAGCAGCGGTCTCAGCCACAGCTGCAGAACCATCGGAGAAGGTGCACTGAGCGGGGGCACAACCCTGAAAGATAGGGACCGGCACAGTACCGCTCGCCTGAGCGATAGAGCGGTGGCGGGTCTCAATAACCGTCAGGGTGTATACAAAGTCTGTGAGGGTGAGGTCACCGGGGTGGATGCTAAGGAAGCGGTCACGAGCAGCGGCAAGGCGGTCAGGGAGGCGGGTGGCAAGCAGGTAGAGGGTAGAGGTAAGGGGCGGCTGGTGGGCTCTAAGCTGTGCGTCAGTGCAGGCAGCGCGCCAGGTCTCATCTATCGTGCGCAGGTGGGCAGCCACGTCAGCAACAGTGGGGAAAGACGCAAGGTCAGGAAAGAGCATCGATAAGATCAGGCGACCCACCGAGGTAGCAGGCGGGGCGGAATAGCGCCGGATAACAGTGTCTAAGAAAGCTTGGGCGGTGGTGATAGATCTAAAGCGAGGACGCTCAGACGGGGGGAGGGCATTGCTAATGGCAAGCTGGGCGACAGCGTCATGGGAAAGCCAGACAGAGCGAGCGAGGGCAGCGGTCGCAGTAGACTCGCGCTCAGCAGGTGTGGGGTCAATGGGCAGCACAGCAGGGGGGTCTGGGCAGGGAAGCGTATCGTCAAGGTGTGCCGAGAGCGGGTGGCCATCCTGCCGCTGGCCAGTGAGGTGGCGGCGGAGGTCGGCTAGCCACGCCTCGAACTCCAGAGGCTGGCCTTCAGCGTCGAAGCGAAGCTCCGCCGCCATCAGGAACAGTGCAGGGCAGGGCCAGGTGAGGCAGTGCAGGGCGGTACAGTGCGTGGCAGCGCGGTACAGTGCAGTACAGTGCAATGCAGCGCGGTGCCGTGCAGTGCAGGGAGGTGCAGTGCGGTGCAAGGTGATGGAGAACCGTACCAGGGAGGGTGCAGTGCATAGCAGGTACGGAGAGCGGGCCGCACGCAGATCGGCGGCAGTCTGGTGGAAGGTGAGCACGGGGCCGGAGATCGACGGGCAGGGCGCGCGCAGGGGCGGCAGACGGCAGGAGGCGTAGGACGGGCGGGGGCCAGTAGGACGGGCGCGGGCCGGACGGGCACGGGGGCCAGCTAGGACGGCGCGGGGCCGGCTAGGACGGGCGCGGGGCCGAGGACGGCGCGGGGCCGCCAGGACGGCGAGCCGGCTAGGACGGCGCGGGGCCGGTAGGACGGGCGCGGGGCCGCTAGGACGGGCGCGGGGGCCGGTAGGAGGGCGCGGGGCCGGTAGGACGGCGGGGCCACTAGGACGGGCGCAGGGCCGGTAGGACGGGCGCGGGGCCTAGGACGGGCGCGGGGCCGGCTAGGACGGGCGCGGGGCCGGTAGGGCGAGGGGGCCGCTAGGAGGGCGCGGGCCGTAGGACGGGCGCGAGGGCCGGTAGGACGGGCGCGGGGCCACTAGGACGGGCGCGGGGCCGGTAGGACGGGCGCGGGGCCGCTAGGACGGGCGCGGGGCCGTGAGGACGGGCGCGGGGCCGTTAGGACGGCGCGGGGCCACTAGGATGGGCGCGGGGCTAGGACGGGCGCGGGGCCGGGG